CGAGAAGATGGACCAGAAACTCGAGAATATGGTTGACGGCGCGAGGCAGCTCGAGATCCGTGCGTCGGTCAGTGTTGTCAGGCCTTTCCCGTTGCTCATTTCTCGTTGCGCCTTCACAGAGTCTGCCGTCGCCTCCGCTCTCGGTGCGTCCGGTGTTTCTCCGTCCCTGCCCTGTCCCCCGATTGACAGCCTCCTGCACCTGCAGCTGACAGGGACAAGTCTGCTCGCTAGGTGGCCCACCGACTGCGTCCCTTGGCGCCCCCTTCCCTTCCTTCGCTCCCTTCACATACCCATCCCCATCATACCCCGCCGCTTTGCGCTCACTCTCCGCACGCATGATACTTGCAACGTCGTTACTGCTCACACATCCCCTCGCACACCTGCGCAACGCAAGCTGTGCGGAGAGTATAGCCGGGAGACAAGGAGGGGGCGGGTCGCGCGAGGCGGGAACTCTGTCGACATGGTCTGCTGCTGTACAAGGCCAGGACTGCTCTGCGCGTGCTCACAAGTCCGTTCGCTGTGAACTTCGCCTGCTTCACGTCGAGTCGCGTGTGCTCTTCATCGCTTTGCCCTCGTCCTCGCTCACTCAGACGCGCAGAGGCTATGGCGAACATGCAGGTCGACTCACAGCAATCCACAACCCTCCCTGGGCCAGGTCAGCACCCGCGCCTTTGCCCTCGCACTCCCCGCGCTCATCTCCTCCTCGTCCCGCTCGAAACAGCCCTCGACGACCTCTTCGCAGACGAGCAGCTCGCGTCCCTCCTCCCAAAGATGGAGAACCCCACCGAGGAGTCCATGGGCGACTTGTCGAACCCGATGGTCATGCGCACTTACTACTCCCGCCTCTTGCCTTGGAAACCTATGTTCCTCTGGCTCAACCAGTCGCACGGTGCGTCACCTCCCTCCCTCTCTGCTCTTGTCACGAGCTTGACGAGGAGCACCCGCAGTCCCAACCCGCCAATTCACCCACCGCGAATTCGCCTTCACGCTCCAGAACGAGGCCTACCTCCGCTACCAGTCGTTCCACTCGCACGAAGAGCTCAGGAAGGAGGTCCTCCGTCTCAATCCGAGCCGTTTCGAGATCGGGCCAATGTACTCGGGCAGGGTGCGTTCGCGGAGATGCCTTCGCTCTCGGTTCCCTGCTGTCGTTCTCGCGGGATGGGGGCTGATTTGAGCGATTGCTTCGTGCCGCAGCCCAAGGACCGCAAGGCATTGATGAAGTCGGCCTTCCGCCCCTTGACGCGCGAGCTCGTCTTCGATATCGACATGACTGACTGTTCGTGCCGCTTCCTTTCCTCTCCTTACCGTTGACTCGACTAACCTCTGCACGCGCACAGACGACTCGATCCGAACGTGCTGCAAGGACAAGAAGATGTGCAAGCGGTGCTGGAAATTCATCACCGTCGCCGTCAAAGTCCTCGACGACCTCCTTCGCAGTGCGTCCCTCCGCATCCTCCCTCTCCGCAAGCTCCACCTGACTCACCTTGCGCACCGGCAGCCGACTTCGGTTTCACCCACATCCTCTGGGTCTACTCCGGCCGTCGCGGAATCCACGCCTGGATCTCGGACTCGAGCGCGATAAACTTGACAGACGAACAGCGGAGCGCGATCGTGAGGTACATCGATGCGGTCAAGGGGTACACGAACATGGAGAAGAGGTTGGTTTTGTCAAAGCCGCTGCATCCGAGTATCAAGTGCGTCCCGTTCCTTCTTTCCTCCTCTCGCTCCCACGAAGAGGATGCTGATAGATAATTTTGTTGGTGATAGCCGCGCCTTCCAGGAGAGCTTGAAGCAGGCTTTCGCGAGCGTCGTCCTGCAGGACCAGGACTGTTTCCGTACCGACCCGCAGCAGTGGGAGAACGTCGTCAAGATGCTCCCGGACAAGGGTACGTCCATGCGCTTGCTCGTTCAGCTCAGAACTCCCGGACGTCGTGTGCTCATTGATCCGCCTGCTTGATACGCACAGAAAACGCCGGCCACCTCCTCAAGCACTTCCCGCCTTCTTCCTCACCCGCCTCCTCCGTCGAACGCTGGACCGCCCTCGCCCCGATCCCGTCTTCCTCAAAAGAACCGAAACACAAAGCCGAGAAGTACAAAGAAGCCGTGACGGAAATCATCGTCCAGTACACGTACCCGCGGATCGATACCGAAGTCTCGAGGAAGTTGAACCATTTGCTCAAGGCGCCTTTCTGTATTCACCCCGGCACCGGTGCGCTCCCTTTCCCCTCCTTCTCTCTCACTCGAGACTGATCGGGTCCGTACCGCGCAGGCAAAGTCTGTGTCCCCCTCCTCGCCTCCCAAATCGACTCCTTCGACCCCGACACCGTCCCCACCGTTGGCCGGCTGCTGCTCGAACTGGAAGACCTCGCGCGGAGGGGCGACTCGAGTGCGGATTGGGGCAAGACGAGTCTGAGGCCGTATGTCGAGCTGTTTGAGAGGCATGCGGAGGGGGTCGTGAGGGATCGGGCGAGGGAGGTCAAGGGTGAGTTCTCGCCGTTGCGCTCAATTCTGCGCGAGTGCTGACGGCGTTCGTCGAGTGAGCAGCCGAGAAGGCCGTCTCGATGGAGTTCTAGCTTCGACACTCTCGCCTTTCTCTCGTCTCGTCTCGCTCGTTCTGCTGGTCCAGCGCTGCTCTCGCATGTTGTCTCTCCTCCCACTCGCTCGGTCGCTGTACCCCACCATCACTGCATACCAGACTCGTTCGTTGCACCCGAGGTTATAAATACGAGAGGAAAACGGAGTTGCGAAGACGGAGGAGAGGGTGAGGAGAAAAGACTAGAGCTTGGCCTGCTGGTTCGATGCAGAGGCCTTGGCGTCCTCCATCTCCTTCTTTGCTTCGTCACGCAAGACTGGAACGAGAGTACACAGGAGAGCGTCAGCGCGACCGGGAAGGAGAGGAAGAAGGCAAGACTCACTCCGCCTGAGCAACTTTCCACTCGGGCTCTTCGGCACGCTCTCTACAAGCTTGATCCCGCCCTTGAGTTGCTTGTAATGCGCGACCTTCCCCTGCATCCACTTCTGAATCGCCGCGCACGAGTCCGACTCCTTCTTCCCGGCAGAGGAGAGGACGACGTAGGCGCGCGGGTACTCGGTCGCTTCGTTCTCGACCCAGAGACCGATCACGGCGCAGTCTGAGACGTAAGGGCATTCGAGGAGGGTCGCTTCGAGTTCGGCGGGAGGGACTTCTGTCGCGCGCAAACGAGCGAGAAGGTTAACTCGACTGGTGCAGGCAGGGGAGGAGAGACGCGCGACGTACGGAAGCCCTTGACTTTGATGAGCTCCTTCAGCCGATCCATGATGTAGAACCACCCCTCCTCGTCAACCCTCGCGATATCTCCCGTCCGAAGCCAAACCGTCCCCTCCTCATCCTTCACAAGCGTCTCCTCGTTCGCCTCAGGACGGTTCAAGTAGCCGAGCATGATGTTGGGACCGGCGAGAAGCATCTCGCCTTGCTGGCCTTGCGGGACGTCTTTGCCGGTTTCGGGGTCGAGGATGCGGGAGCGCATGTTGGGCAGGAGAGGGCCGATCGAGCCGCGCTTGGGGGTGATGGCGACGTGCGTCGTGGGTGAGGACTCGGTCAGGCCGTAGGCTCTGCGCAGGATTCGAAAAGTCAGCGTAAAGTTCGAGGAAGATTAGGAAGGCCGAAGCGAATTCGACGCCAGCGGCTCCTTTCCTCGATGACAGGGCAGGACGAAGGGAAAAGAGAACGCACTGTACGACGGTGCACTTTGGCAACCTGTTCGCGAGCTCCTTCTCCAGTTCCGGTCCGAGAGGCGCAGCGCCCGAGATGATCATCCTCAAACTCGAGACATCGTACTTGTCGACCTTCGGATCGCGCGCCAGGTGCAGCGCAATAGGCGGCACGAGCATGAGGAAAGTGACCTTGTACTTCTCGACGTAGGTGCAGAGGGCGTCGAGTTCGAAGCGGGGCATGACGACCACGGGGTTGCCGAAGAGGACGGGCCAGTGGACGAGTTTCGTCAGGCCGTAGATGTGGTTGAGAGGTAGTACGGCGAGCTGGACGTCGTGCGGATACGTCTTGAGAGGAGCAAGGATGGAGAGGACGGACTGCGAGGGAAAAGAGGGTGAGTCTCCGTTTTCACGTTGTGCTCCCGCTCCAGGGGCTAACAGCGATCTCGAAAGATCTCGATTGACCCACCGTCATGTTGTACGCCGAGGTCTTGACGCCCTTGGCCTTCCCACTCGTTCCCGACGAGTATCCAAGGTACGCAACCGTGTTCTTCGGGTTCGTCACCTTGTGCGGCTGCATCTCCTTCTCCGAGATCAAGTAGTCAAGGGTCTTGAAGCGCGAGGCGGCGGGACCGGCTTCGTCGGAACGGACGGCGAGAATGATTCGCGAGGTTTGGTCGGAGGTGGACCAGCCGAGTTGGGAGGTGGCGGTGAGCGCGCATTCGAGGGTGTTTGGGTGTACGAGGAGCTGCCAAGAGGACCTCGAGTCAGAAGAGCTTGCCAGAAGAAGCAGCGGAGAACTCACGAGTTTCGCAGACGAGTCCTGCAGCTGGTGCGCAAGTTCAGCCGGCTGGTACGCGGCGTTCGCTCCCGAAAAGACGATGCCGGCGCATTGCGTCGACAAGACGATCATGTGGTAGTAGATGCTGTTGGGCGAGAAGAGGCAGACGACGTCGCCTGGCGAAAGTCGTGCGGTGTTGCGAAAGCCGTGGGCGAGTCGCTGGGCGTACGAGCGCAGTTCCGCGCGGCTGGATGCGTACAGAGCGTCAAAACACAGCGGTCGAGAGCCAATGGATTCCCTCCCAGCGACAGCGTTCGAGGGTGTCCTCCCCTTCCGCTCTCCGCGACGACGAGGGATCCGTCTTGCTCACCTCAACTTCCGCCCGGTCGGGCCATCAATGACGGCCGTCTCGTCGTCCCTTGCGCCCCTCGGGTTGGACCAGACTGCACAGCGAGCGAGGCGGCGGTCAGTGTCGAGAAGCCGGAGCGACGGAGTTCGGAGAGTGGGGAGAGGGACGAACCCTTGTCCCATACGGAGCACTCTGGGAGGTCGACGGGCGTGTGAGGAGAGTCGTAGATCATTGCGTGCGAGGACAGAGAGAGAGGAGAGAAGAGAACGAAGCGGGGACGAACTTCGGCGCCGGACATTTTGGTCCCGGCCCCGCGCGGAGAACAGCCATCGGCAGCGACGGCGACAGACAGACGTACTTGATCCTGTTACAACATCGGAGAGACGACCATGATGGGAGCAATACAGTCCACTCATACCGCCCGCTGCGCAGCCGTCGCCGCCGCCGCCGCACTCGCCTGCCCAAACAACCCGCTCGAACTCTTGGCCAGCGCAGGCATCGACGACGCGCCCGTACTCGCCGCCTGCCCGCCTGGCGCACCGGGAGTCGTTGACCGCGCCTGCGCCTGCGCCAGGAGGTGCTGCTCGTGTCGGTGTCGGTCGAACGGGGGGATAGTCGGGATCGACATGAACGGCGCAGGGGCGTTCCGAGACGCGGCCGCTGCTGACGACGGCTTCGTAACGCTCGTTGGGGCGGAGGACGAAGCCGCGGAGGAAGAGCCGGCAGGTGTCTTGGGCGAGCGGTGGCTCATGTGCTCGTCGAGCGTGAACCGCGCCTTGACCGCTGCGTTTCCACCCGGCACAGGCGTCGTCCT